CCCAGGCATCCTGGGGACAGCCACACTGTCCTCCGCTGTCCTAGTGGGGCATGGGGGCTCTCAGGAGCCACCCTCTCTTTTGGTCTTCATCTTTGCACAAGAGGAAGGGTCAGAGCTGAGGTAAAGGTGACCCTGGCACTGAGAAGGTGCTGAAACATGCAGAAGGGTTCCTGTAGTCCTCTCTGGCCAAGGAGCCAGGAATGGGTCTGGTTCCACAGCACTGCCTTTGCTTCAGGACCCTTCCTGGAAGCTAGCTTGAGCCCCAGGAGCATTAATGCATCAGGGAACAGGCACCACCAGCAAGGGCATCCCATGCCCAGCTTGGGGCTGGCAGCAAGGGGCCTTACTGTGGAACCCTCTCCTCTTGTCAGAAATACTGGCACTGCACAGCTGGAAGAAGTAGCTTTTAATTTACTTCCTCTGAGCAACCACCCACACTGTGCCTGCAAAGACAGGATCAGTCAGCTTGGGAGCCCAGTGGGCTCTTGCTGAGGACCTCAAAACCATGTTAGCACCAGGACCACCCCAGGGCCTTCTCCTTGAGAGGTTAAAGTTTTTATAGGCTTCACAGCTTGTGTTTTCAGGCATTAATTCTCTATTGGCAGAGCAGTGAAGAGCCACTGGTGCACTCACAGTATCCCCTGTCTCTATAGAAACAGCACACTCAGAGCCCAATTCATAAGGTGGTTATTAAAGAAAATTCATCAATTATAAAGCACAAATTGTCCTTAATACTTCTGCTCATCACCCATGGCACAGGGGCCTGTGTGTAGCCATCATGTTGTCTCCCTCAGGCAGTACCAGGGAACACACCCCAGATTTGGGGCACAGGCAATGCCCTCCCATTAAAGTCTTCATTTAGCCTCTGTCAGGACAGAAATGTGTAGGGCTGGTTAACTGCTAAACTGAGAGTATTGCAGTAAATTAAAGTCAGTCCCACAGGACTGGCAAGCTTTGATGTGCTGTGTGCCCCAGGGCACTTCTGGAACTCCTGCCTTGGTTTGAAGAGTCCTGAGGAGCAATCCCTGAGCGAGTGCAAGCCTGAAGGCAGGTCTGGGGGCAGCGCTGGCTCAAGAGCCCTCCAGAAGCCTTGGGAAACAGGAACTGCAAAATAAACAACTGTGAATGATTGCATTAATATTGCTGTAGGACTATCCCGAGGTTTTATTAGCAGCTCTTTAATTGTGATCTGCTTGAACTAATTAGCTCAAAGAAGCAGCTGGGGCCAGACCAGATTGAAAAAGGGCTGCATCCAATTCTTTCCCTACTGTGTGGTCCAACCCTTTCTTGTGGCTCTTAAAAATTTAAGCAATTGTTCAGCATCCTCTTTGGTGACCTGAACATTTTTCATTTAAAGGTACCACTATTTTATTTTAGAAACATGGTTGGGTGCCACAGAGTGGAAGCCTGTTCTGGTTGCAGTGAGGTGCTGCATGCCCTCATGGTCTTTTAATCCTGTTTTTCTTTTTAGGGAACTGCTGGTATTTTGTGTTACTCCATAATTTGTCCCTGGAGCAGGCTGGCTTTTAGCGTGCTGGCCATCATTGTAGGGGTCAGGCTCTCCCAAAAAACCACTTGCATGATCTCTCTCCTGTGACACAGGCTGGCATAGATGCCCTATTTCCCCGGTTTCCCACCACCCAAATCTTGAGGCAAAGAAGACAACCTGATAGGGCCTTTAACTACAGATTTTCATAAGTTATTTAAACTTGTGTGTTTTGCCAGAGTACATAACCCTTGCTGAGGTCCCATCCATGCCCTGCATACAGGCAGTTGCTGTGTGCCCTCTATCACTGGGACCAGCCAAATTCAGGTAAATGTCCTGGATGTGGTGTCTCCTAAGCTGAAACTCCCTGATGAATGCTAGGAGCTTCAGCCAACCTATGGTTCTTCAGGCACAGAAACCTCACCACTCTCCCATCAGCTCTTCCCCAAGCCTCTGCCTCCTCCATCCCCCTCTCTGCACTACTCACAAATTCTTCCCCTCACCCCAGGGCTCTGCAGCACTGCCAGATCCCTCCTCTCCTGCCAGGGGACTTGTTTGTAATTGAAGAAACCAGATGGTGTTTTACCAGGTTAACAACCCTTGAAAGGGCAGGGGTTAGAAATAATGAGCTTTAATTAGGAGAGTAACAGGTTAGACCATGTTGAGTTACACTTCAATGCAATAAATTACTTAGGAGCAATAGATTCTTTATTTGCTGGCATGTTTATAAACTCACAGCCCACACTCATGCTGTTGAGACAAATAAATGCTGAGGGTAAAATACGGCTTGAGACTTTATGAGCAGGGTGGGATTTTGCAAGGTACTAGGTAATGCAGGCTGAAGCTTCAAGGGTGATCTCTGATTTCTTATAAGGAATTGAGGTTTTTATTCAGGCCCTGAATATCCAAAGGAAGTTACAGTGATGAGTTATTTATTTTAATTCTTTTCTGTTATTGATTTATTTCCTAGCAGCATGCATATCTCAACCACAATCTCCTTAGCAGCTGAGTGCTGACCTTCTGCCTCCACTTCCACCTAAAAGTCTCTCAGCTCCTCCTAAAGTGTCAGAATACATGCAGGGGGAAGGACCAGGAACTCATTCCTCATCTACAGAGTTTAACACTGGTGCATTTGTTGGAGATCTCGTGGTTCCAGGAGAATTTATCTGCCAATTACTTCTCAAAAAATAGCAAAGGGTTATGCAGTACTTGGCAGCTGAGAGCAGAAAGGGGAGAAGAGAATCAGGTTTTAATTGAATCTCAAGTATGTTGAACAAATATTTCAGAACTATCTGTTCTATCTGCTGGCCTGAAATTTAATTAAGAAAATAATGCTTTTAGGGTGTCTCCATCTGGGGGGAGAAGCAGAAAGGGGAAGAGTGAAGATAGGAAATGTGATGAGGAGTGGAAAACATCTTGCTGGAGATACTTCAGAATCAAGCAGCTCCTTGTGTTTGCAGAGATCAAGGCTGTTTGTCAAACTGCCCATCCCGTGCCTGAGAAATGCCTTAGGTCAGGATGCAGGTGGGTTTCCAAGTTCCAGCAGTAAATCCTCTTCCCACATCCAGCTCTGCCCCCTCAGTTTCAGGGGAAGGGCTGGAGGAGACAGCACAGCCCATCCCAGGAAGATTCTGCCTGTGCTCAAGGCCCCAGGAGTCACCCAGGGATCCCCTTCCCACTCCTCCACCTTACCCTGATCCTTACTGCTCTGCTTTGTCTGCACATCTTTATCAATATCTTGTTCTGAGCTGCTAAGGAAAAATCTGTTCTAAGGGGGAAAAAAATGTCTGTAGTATAAAAAAGATTGTTACAAGCAAATCCTCACATGTTAGCAAAAACACCTCCATTTTCTTCAAGAAGTAAATCCCAAATCTCTGCGCAGAACTTTCTTAACAACAACAAATAGGAACTCTGTTCATAAATTCACATTATACAATATACACAAAACAGTGCAAAAATAGCATGAATGCTTAAACTCCAAATGCATTATGTTTAAAATAACTGCAAAAAGCCAGTGTTCTGTTCCCTCATCCTCATCTATTTTAGGGGTAACATTGATGGTTTAATAACATGCAATATAATAATCATATATGCAAAACCTCCCTAAACACAACAAAATAGGTCCTGGACAGTTCCAACACACTGAGGGGACTTGAGTTCTTGTCCTGACTCATTCAGTGAAGTGATTTCCTGTAGATGCAGAATGGTTAATTAACATTTTGTGCCCTTGAAAATATCACACCCATATTTTCCCGAGTGGCTGCAAAATTCTAAGCTCTTTTAACACTATAGTTTGGTGAAAGCCAAACTAAGGTAATTTGACTAGTGAGGCTGCATTGGCTGTTCAAGTGATACTTCACAGTCACTCAAGGCTAACTGGTGGCAGACACTTGTTTTATTTGGCATGAGCTTAGGGTTTGGTTCATGTGAATCTTTTTGATTTTGCTCATAGTCCAGATGGTCTCTTGCAAGTCTGGGGCAAGTGTCCTTGGTCTCCTGGATGCTGCAGGGTATGAATATCTACTGACAGCAGCAATAAATGTTTGTGTCAGTAATCACAAAACACTTAAAGGGCTTCACAAATGATTTCCAGGAAATAAGAGAATTTCTTCACCTGCCATGGAAATGCACCTGTAGCTGGGGCAGAGAGCAACACTGCTCTGTGGTACACAACTACACAGATCACTGGGGCTTACAGGACAAGAGTACAGCTTCCAGCTGAAGCAAGCAGAGGAATTTGGACAGGAAAGGTAAAGTTATCCAAAAGAAACTCAGACCACAACATGGGAAGTACTTCTGTTACATTAGGGAGCATTTACTATTAGTTTGTTCATTATTAGTTTGCTAATTGTAGCAAATCTGTCTGGATCTCGGGTTTCTGTGCTACCAGCACTGCAGTGTTTCCAGAGACATGATATGAGGCCCATGACACCCAGCTTTGGTTATTCCTAGTGTAGGAGTCTCCCCCTGAGAGTCCCTTTACAGTCAATGGGCTTGTATCTTGGAGGCATTTATCTCCTCTGTGGGGATGTATTCCTCACAGGAGAGTGGTGAGATGAGACACGTGGAAATGCCTAATTGTCCTCATTAACTTCAAAAGGACTCCAGAGGAGCAGCTTCCATGGGGTGTCTGTGGCATGTCAGTTTGGGTAGGACAGACTCACACTAGAAAAAGGGTGTATTTTTTCCTTGAACAGTCTTCTGTTCCTGGGACTCCTTTCAGTGCTTTGGTCCAGCTCAGCACTTGCACATAACAAAATGGGGTGGCACTGCTATATTTAACAACAGATGCTTTGGAGATGCTAAATATTGACATGTGCCTAACACTTCACCAAACAAGAATAAATTAGCACTAAGGAAAAGCAAATTAATTTGCCTATAACAATACGTTTTCTTAAATGCCCTGAAGAAGTATTGAATGAAGCTCGCTGCAATGCCAAAGCAATTCCTCTTGGCACTCTCCCAGCACAGTGTGTACAGCCACTTAGCTCCCACTGCCTGCGTTGTTTCAGTCTCAGGGGATTTGTTTATGTTTCTTTGCAGGTGCAGGGAGCCTGCTCAGATCCTCCTGCTCGGTGAGGTTGTGGTCAGAGCTGTCGTGAGAACAGTCCTTCACAGTGCTGTAGTACACCGGGGTGCAGGGCGGGGCAGGGTGCTCAGCACCCTTCTCCTGGCACTTGTACAGCTTCCTGAAGGCAGCCCTGAACTTCTGGGACATGAGGTTGTAGATGATGGGGTTGATGGCACTGTTCAGGTAGATGCACAGGCGGCAGAAGAGGAGGAACCATGTGTTGAGGTACGGAGGGTCCACGAAGGAGTTCACCACCACCAGTGTGCGGTAAGGCAGCCACAGCACGGCGAAGAGGGCCACCACCACAGCCAGCATCTTGGTCACCTTGATGGGGGGGAGATGCAAAAAGAGAAATAGCCAGATGGTGCTAAATCTCCAGCACAACTTTCCCACTGTAGCACTGGTGCAGACAGCTAGTTCCCCTCTCTAAGCATTTAAAAGAAACACCCAGGGCATGGCACTAGTTCTTGCTGAAACCGTTTTAATCAGGAAATAATCTTGCATAAATAAAACCAGAAATTATAGATTGTCATCTACTATTGAAGAGCCTCTAAATCTCTTTAGGAAAGGTATTCACCATCCTTGTAATGAGCTAGGATAAGCATGGGAATGTCTGTACCAGAAAACAAATTTGAAAATTTTACATAACAGTAAATGAATGGGGAAAATACTTGTCTAAAGGTAGGGACCTCGGTTTTAGGGGTGTCAGGGAATGCACTTCATCTCCTTGCCTAGGGTTTCCTGGTTTCCTACATCACTTACATCGTTCCAGGAACAGGCTTTTGGTTCAGAGCAACCCTGGAAGCAGAGGAGACTGTCAGGAATCTTTTATTACTTGTGCTGATATAGGGCTTACTTAGCTACTTACCATGGGTTACTTTAATTTTCAGCACACTAGGGGAGTACTACATAAACATATTGGGAACAAAAAGAAACTGAGAACTCAAAAGTGAGCAGTAATTGCCCTCAGCTCAAAATAAGCTCGTTCAGGAAATTGGGGTTTTGCACTGAAACACCAGTCATCCTAATAATTTCAACAGCTATTTCTGGTAAGTGGCAATCCTCCTCAAACAAATACTAACACAATACACACGTCCCCAAGGAGGAAAGTATGACTAAACACTGATGCCACACGCGTATCTAGGCAGTGGTGTTTCAAATGTCAGAAAGGGAGTTGTGCAATAATCCAGTTCTTAGTATGGACATAAGCACTGGGATCACATTTAGAGTCTCTCAGCTTTTCTTGGAGTGCTATTTTACTTCATCAAAAGAAACTATACCTTCCTGCAATGCCGTGAGTAGAAACTGGGAGTCATTGCTTGTGGCAACAAAACTTTCCCTAGAAGAAAGGGACTATTACCCAGCTGTGGCCAAAATAGAAGTTGTTTGCTGTGTGTGGTTTAATGGAAATGTGAGGACACTTCCAAAAATAAGATCTTGCAGTGATACAATGAGTGCTGAGGCTGTTGCTAAGACTGAAACTTGTTTGCTGCTACAGCTTGTTGCCTTTTGGGAAAGATTTGAGAAAATGTACAAGTGGTGTCTCACAAAGCTGTGTCCAGCCTCTTCTCCTCTCCTGGAAGCCACAGATGCTTCTCCCCAGCCAGTATCCTCCCTCCTTATTCCTGCACCGTACATTCTGAGTTGTACAGCCTTTTTTTAGGAATCCCACTCCCTCTAGTGGTCCCTCTTCGGGAGGAGAAATACAGACTTGGAGGTGCTTGTAGAAGTGGTAAATACAGCAAAGCTCACACCTTGTTTATTGTCCTGGTCAGGATTTAAGTGCTTTTAGAAGCACCAGTGAGAGAACTGCAGCACCTTCACACCCCAAAAGCAGGGCAGTTCTGTAGGAGCACAGCCACAGAAAATCTCCCTCAGCCATCCAGGCAGGGGAGAAAAACAGGCCCTTCTGAGAGAGCCCCTTTAGGAGCTTTCCCAGGGAACTCTGGGCACGGGACCTGGAAGAGCCAGTTCCCCTATAAAGAGAGGCCAGAGGAGAAATGCTGATGTGGGTGTCTGTACTCTGGTCAGAGGCACCTCCAGAGCTACACACACACCAACTGGAAGCCCTGGAAAACTGCTTTACAGTTTAAAAACTTAGTGCCTTCTTTATTCCTTATGATGGCAGCACTGTGATGTCAGGCTTTCCAAGGAAGTCTTTGTGTGCTAGGATATTGTGGGAGGTAATGCCAATCTCGAGTCAACTCCTGGTGTAACAGCAAAGAGAGCAGAAGATGTTTCCAGGAGCTGGAATGCCCCAGCAGCCACTTGTCCCAAAAATGCTGGAGCATGCTGTGCCACTCCACAGCACAGCATTGCAGGGGGAGCAGCACAGCCCCTCCAGCAAGCTGCTCTGGAAGGAGAGATCCATCAACCAGTCGAGAGCCCTCACTGCAAAACACCCTGCCTGAGGCTCCTGCAGCAGCCAGTGGCCATGGGAGAACAGGCAAATGCTTTTGAAGAAGTCAGCACTTGCTTTAAACCTTTCAGAGAAAAAGGGAGGAAAAGCTGGACTGGAAAGATTCAGAAGTTCATGAAGAAATACACGTTCTCTGAGCTGTTTGCTTCCCCTCTGTGACCCTGACTCGTCTCTCCTGGGGAATGGAGGTTCCTGTGCAAGGCAGACAACAAGCTACTGAGCTGGAAACACAAGGACTATAGGGCAGGCTGAAGCCTACTTTGGAAATCACAACAGAACTAGTGATTTAATGGACTTCAAGCCAAAGTCCCAGATTCAACCCCTTCCTTTAAAAGGAAAGCTGAATGGGCCCTGCCTATTCAGAGTGGGACTGTCCCTTGTCTGTATACTGACCTGCCCAAAGAGATGGGACACGAGGCAGTGATTGCCCATGTGAACAGAGAAGGATGAGCAATTAGGACAGAAGGAGGTGGGAGGAGAAGGATATGGAGAGATAGGAGGCAGCTGAGAGACACAGGAATCACCGAAATGCAAACACACCGCTGTGGCAGTGACTCCCCCGGCTGCACGGATGGGGGGGCTGCAGCCAGGGCTGGTCTCCAAGGGAAGACAGTTCTCCCTTCTCTTTGCTCCTTTAAATGTGAGCTCACCTGCACAGGACGCTGTCTGAGAGATGAGTCCCACTGCCATAACGTGACCCAGCCCTCTCCTCCTCGGGGAGGCAATCAGTAATTAATTAGCCAGCAGAAGTGCCTGCACTCCTGCCTCTCCCCGCCTGAATCCCTGTCCTGCTCTACCAAGCCCGACCAAAGCAGGGGGAGCCCATCCGTGCTGCCAGACTCCCGCTGGGCTTGAGGGGCTCCTTTGCAGCAAACCAACGCTCCCCACTCCCTCCAGAAAGGGAAACAAAGCTTTGTGGCGCCTCATCCCTGCCAGAACGGCCCTCAAAGCCCCGAGCCCCTGGCAGAGCAGACCCCAGACGGCGGGGAGCCCCTACCTGCTTGCGGGAGCTCAGGGCAGCCCTGCCGCCCCGGCAGGAGAGCTTGAGGGAGCTGCCCTGGTGCCCGGAGCCCGGGGAATGCTGCGGGGTGCCGGGCACGGGGCTCGCGAACAGGATGCGAGCAATGAGGCCGTAGAGGACAGTGGCCAGCCCCAGCGGGATGACATAGAAGACGGCAAAATCCAAGAAGTAAATGGGCATGTAAAGGCTTCTGGAGACCCGGTAGCCACAGGTGACCTGCGCCCCATCCGAGAAGGTGACCTGGGTGGTGTCCACCAGGAAGAACCACATGAGGCAATAGAGGGAGGTGAAGAGCCACAGCGAGGCGATGATGCGCCTGGCGCGGGACACGGTGCACAGGAGCTGTGCCTTGATGGCGTGGCAGATGGCGATGTACCGCTCCACCGTGAAGGCAGCGATGGACCAGGCGGAGATGTTGATGCCCAGGTACTGCAAGTAGGTGATGCAGAGGCAGCCGGCGTAGCCGTACACCCAAGAAGCCAGCACTTCGGAGATGTTGGGCAGCCCGGCGGCCAGCAGCACGATGAGGTCGGCCACGGCCAGGCTCACCAGGTAGCAGTTGGTGGGGGTCACCATGTGCTTGGTGCGCAGCACCACCAGCACCACCATGGCGTTGCCGGCGATGCCCACGCCGCAGATGAGCAGCACCAGCAGGATGGTGACCACCTGCAGCTCCAGGGGCTGCCGGGGCATCCTGCCCAGGCTCTGGTTGCCGCTGGCCGAGCCGTTCTCCATCGCGCCTGCAGGCACCGGCGGAGCCCCGCGCACCCTGCGGCGGCAGCGGGAGCCGGGGCTGTCCCCGAGCCCCCTCCCCGCTTTCCCGCCCACCCCGGCTCCTCCCTCGCCTTTTTTTTTCCACGATTCGCCCCAAGTCTTGCAGCCGCCCTGCTCCTTGCATCCCTCTCCCCTGTAAACTCTCCGCCTGGAGGGGCGGGGAGCGGCCAGGATCCCCCCAGTCCTCGGGAGTCTCCAGGAGCTGCCGTGAACCACCCGGGACTGTCCAGAACCCCCAGGCTCCCGGGGCTCTCCAGGACTCCCCTTAGCCGCCAGGACCCCCGGGAACCACCCGGCTCCCCCAGGACAGCCCCCAGCCCCCTCGGACCCCGCATCGCCTCCCGCCAGCATCCCCCGCCTGCGCCCGCCGGGTCCCAGCGCACCGCTGGGCAGGACGGAGCGGGAGGAGGAGGAGGAGGAGGGAGGGAGCCCAGGCAGGGGATGGGGGTGCAGGTGAGAAGTGCCAGGGTGGGGAGGTGCAGAGGCTGCAAGTACCCCAGCAGTGAGTGGGACCCCGCACTGTGGGTGCCTGTGTCCCCAGCCAGTAAACAAGCTTCACTGCTCCCCCAGGACAAGGAGAGCCGAGGGTGGGGAGTCCTTTATTCCTCATCCTCAGGAGGATAGGAGCAGGGCGGTGCCAGTGAGATCCACAACCTTTCCCGTTTCCCTTGGGCTGAGGAATGAACCCCTGAATGAACCTCCTGTCCCAAACAAGCACAGTGTCACTTCTGAGGGAGAAGGCTTAACCCAAAGATTCCAAATCTTTCCAACAATGAGGCTGGGATATCTGGTATCTCCCTGGTGGTCAGGCTGGGAGATGAGACCCCTGATGGTCAGCAATAGCCACAGTTTGCTGCCAGCTCCATGCTTGTTCCTGATGTCTCTGCAATCTGTCAGAATGAATTTTCAAATTGAAAGAGTAATTGTGCTAAGGGCCCCCTAACCCGTGGAGTGGAAAAAAAGACAAGGGGACAACTCTCTTTTTTATTAGATCAGATTTCAATTAAAGGCAGAGGTGTCCTGTTAATCCCAGACACTGAGGCACATATCCAAAGTGTGAAGGGTCATTCTGATGCTGAGTGATTGAAGTCCAATGTTTCACAGGCAAATTTTTAAACCTGGGCTGCACAAACCTGGGTGGATAAAATGCTTTTTGCCTCAGCCCAAGGAGCAGCACTGTCCCCAGGCTTTGACTTACAAATAGTGTTTTCCCCTTTGCTCTGGGGAACCTTATGCTGCTCTTTGGCAGACAACAATTCATGTCTTTTTCACTGCTTCCCATGATATTTCATTCACCTTTGGGTCAGTTTTAAAGGACAAATTATTCTCTTTTTCTCTTTCCATTTGGCTTCCTTAGGGCTCTACTGGCAGCCTGCACCAGGTCCTCTGTGTCCTGGCCAGCCTCACACCCCTGCCCTCCACGGCCCCAGGTTTGGGAGCAATGGCAGCTCCTGTCCCTTATTGCACTTTTGTGGCAAGGACTGGGAGTGTGGGCACGTGTGTTTTCTCACATAATCCAAGGTATTTCAGTGCTCTGGAGTGACTCTAACACAGACACAATTCCAGCACTTCATCCCACTGCTGCTGGCTCACAGTGATGCTGGGAGCCCTCGGAATGTGGACTGTGTCATAAAACTGTGTGTGGGAGAGGAGAAGGGACAAACCTGGCACAAATGTTCTGAGAGAGAAGTTGGGGTTCATTTGCTTCCTCAAACCCATTCCAGGAACTGGCTTTGTTAGATCAGGAAACAAAACCAAGACAAATGCCTGCAGACACTGGAAAAAGCTTTGTTTTGGTTCAGACCTGGAACACTGTGCAGGATAATTGCAGGTAATTACTCCCCTGGCTGCTTTACTCTGTGGCACTGACAATCCAGCAGTTATTAGTGCAGATAATAACAGCATTTAAAGCACCCCTCTGAAGCAGTTCCTCCTGCCAGTCCCTGAGCAGCTCTGTGTCCATCACCAATCCTCCAGGAAATGTGCCTGAACAAGCAAAAAGCAAGAAGCAGGTGGAAGCATTGGCTTTCAGGACAACACAAAGAAATGGAAGCACTGGGAGTCCCAGTCTTTCTGGAATCTTGATAACTGTAAGAGGAAACTGTGGTTTGGGAAACCAAAGCTGAGCCTTTGCCAGAACCAAGTAAGGCTTGGAGCTGTACTGTGAAAAATTACACATCTGATGTGCTTTTGGGGCACCGTGTGTGACACATCCTACCTCAACCACCCATCCCAGTGCTCATCCTGAGGACAGCATGCAGGGTAGGATGTACTTGGAGCCAGAACAGAGATTGGCAGTTCCCAGAACAGTAATCAGGGTGGATATATGCTGGAGGGGCATCCTGAGGGGATAATAGCCACAATAATGCTAAGGGGAGATAAAAGCTCTTCATGCAATATTATAAAATAATAAAACTCTGCCAGAACAATTAGACTGTAATTACGGGTTATTTCATATTCTGTGACATCTAAATGTCAACACCATAACTCTGTAACAACAAGCACTTGGTACAGCACACTCTGCACACCTGATGAGCACAGCCCTGGGAGAGCACAGCAGCCTCCAGCTCTGCTCCTGCTCCCTGTCCATGCAGGCAGAACCATGACATGCATCTGGGAATCAGGGAGGAAACATGAGCCCACCCTCACTTGGTATCCAGGTCTGGGCTCATACCATGACTGGATGTCACACCAAGCAGGTGTGACAAAATGGGACTGACAAAATGCTCCAAGTCCTTAGGTCTGGTGTAAACACCCAGGAAACACTGGGAATGGTGTCTGTAAAGTTCTTCATCACTGAAATCCACCACTGCATCCTACACAGCAGTCTAGGGCATGAAAGGGCAGGAAAAAGCCTGCTAAAGCTGACCTCTCTGGTCCTGCTGCTGCAGATCTTCCCTCCAAAATATGTCTCTGATCCATCAGCCTTCACTCCTCAGAGCTGCTCTGGTTAGTCCAAAAGAACAGGTGATGAAATTGCAGCAGCTCTTGCTGCTCAGGAGCCTCCACCCAATTTGTGGTTTCAAACATTTTTTCAGTCTTTCCTGTGTGCACTGCTCATTGCAGTGTCCAGACAGAGGGCAAATCTCTCCCTGCTCTTAGAGGAATTTATTCCAATGCCAGAGAAAGCTCCTTCCTCCTCTCAGCCCCATCTAAAGCACCATACTCACTTCCCACAGAGCCCAGGACCACACATACATCATCAGCTGCTCCTGAGAGAGCAAAACTCACATGGTTTTAGGCATCTATTTTTAGGAAAGGTCTAGATGGGACCAAAGTTCCTCCCTCCCTCACTGTGGTTGTGAACCTGGCATTACTGATTCCCTGGCAGTGCAGAGCACAAAGCATTGGGCACATGGAACAATTTCTTCCCTCTCCTGGTAAAGGGAAAAGGTGATTCATCCCATCCCAGCCACAGCCTCAGCTTGACCTGCTCCTTCCTATGATTCACAGAGGTTCTACTTTATTGTCTGAACAGCTTAACTTATAATGCAAAAGAGGAAGCTTTCAGCTTTTCAACTTGGCTGTTTCAGTTTCTCAACCTGCTTCAAAGGAAAACCTCTCGTCCAAGCCATGGATCACCCCTGACTAGTCAGACCCCTGGCCTTTTTATTTTAAATCTCTTGGGAAATAAATTCACAGAATTGGCCTCTCTCCCTTCTCGGGTATGAAAGCATCTCTCCAGCTGTTTCCAGGTGGGATGAGGAATTACAGAATGTTGACTGGAACAGCATCTAAGTAAGAAATGTGTGAAATCCTGGTACTTTTTCATGTTTGTCTGTGTTTTGCAAACATCTCTTCTGGAGATTTAATCTTTGCTTATCAGCAAAGAAACACAGAACTGCCTCTGCCTCAGTCCTTGGGAGGGGCTTGAAGGGATGGAGGTGAACTGGCTGCATTTCCGCAGCATCTCCTCAGTGTGCCAATGCCATCCCCTGAACCCCTGGAGCTTCTTTCTGAAGTCATGAATCTCAGGGCTTCTCTGAGTACCTGAAGAGTGAGAATTAGTGATGTGCTCAGTTCTGGAAATCAGGGGACCAAGAAACATGCCTGCAGGGTTGGCTTCTGTGTCCACATTCCAGCTTTTAGCAGCCTTTTGGGATAACCAGTGTTGCTTCTACCTCATTTCCACAGTTTGTGTTGCAGGCTGAAAGCTGGCTACAACTAATTTGGAAATTTTCTATTGCAAAATGTGAGGCATTGAGTTCAGAGTGAAACCCTGACACAATCTACAGTTGAAAGAGCCAGGATTTGGGAAATTCTCACTATGAATTATATGCACAATGCTATGAAGCATTTATGATAGCATTATGATCTCTTTTTGCTTTTATTTATGCCCATTAATATTTCCTTTTCTAAAATTTGGTGTGTGGAAGTGTCTCTTCTTCATTGCAATTACTGTGCAAATACTACAGATAGAATAAATGCAATAAAAATGGAGTTTGCTTAAAAATCAGAAAATACTTCTGGAAAGAGGTTTTTGTTTGCTTGCCTGTGTGCTCTGGTAGATGCAGATTTGTGGCTGTGAATAAGATCTTTCCTAGAGACTGAGCTGGATTATTTACACTTGCACCTCAGTATATTAAGGTTGTTCATTCTTGCCTGCCAGCCAGCCATAAGCAGGAACTTAGCATATATTTTACCTAACACACCTGAGGCTAAGGAAATGGAGTCAGTTCACCTCCACCCCTTCACTAAAATATACCACAAAATTCCACGGAATCAGGGGCTTCAGGGTAAAACTTGTCCTGTGTGGGAGTGTCTCTCTGTCCCCTGGGTTCATTGCATTGGTGGAGGAAAAACATCCATGGGCCTTTCTCTCTTGTGATTGCAGTTTTCTTTAGTTTTCTTTTAGTTTTTCTTTAGCTAATTAAGAAGCCTCAAATCTCAGTAAGTGCAAAGAAGAAACCAGGCAAGCAGCCATGTCTGGCCCACCCCCGTGTGTCCTGCCAGGCTGACAGCTCCTCCTCACATGGTGGTAACTCCTGGGAAAAATGGCAGCTGTGGATGCAGATCCAGGGCCACATCTGCCCTGGTGGCAGCTGCAGCAGATCTGAGTGAATGATGAGCCCCTGGCAGCAGGGTCACGGCATCAGCCCAGCTGGGGGCTGGCACTGAGCAACAGCAAGGAGCTTTGGTGCCCATCACCAAAGGCTCCCCAGCCTCTTTGGGGCACCCCAGCCCTGCCTCTGCCTCCTTGCACACAAACCTCTGAGCCTGAGCTCCACCAGCATCCAAACCCAGAAGGCAGGTGTGGTGAAACACTGCCCTGCAGTCAGGGACAGCAAAGGAGAGAGTGAGCAGGGGCAGCACGGAGCAGCAGGGATTTTCCCCCTGCAGGAGAGGGACACTCAGGACCTGGATGAGTGACACAACACAAAGCCTTGCTCCCCATTTCCAGGAGGAAATGGGGATGGAAATGCCTCCTGTGGGATGGGAGGGATGTGCTGAGTGAAAACAAAGCAACTAGAGCCCTGATGAGCAAGAGTGAGGGAGTGAGTATGGAGGGGCTCTGAGGGAAGAAAATCCCTCAGCAAATAACAAGACTTGTACATTGGTTCTACTTAATAAAAAATATGTGAATAAATTAACGTTTCCTGCTGGTTAATCTGTTCAGCATTTCTCTCTTGCACCATCACACAAACCCTGGCAAGGCAGCTCACCCCTCCAGTGGGTAATACAGCTCCATAATGGTAATGTTTTCTATTTTGTCACACCTTTATCCAGCTGAGGAACGCCTCTCAGGAGAGCTGAGCAATTTCCAGCAGCTCTGCCTCCTGCCAGTTCCTCTGGGGAAAACATGACAGCCCAATGTGGCACCAGGGACAACATGGTTGATGTCAAAAAGATGTCTTCCTGAGGAAAAACTCCTTTTTGAGTTGTTCCTGTTGGAAGACAACATGCTGCTTGGATGGTTTGCAGTCTGAAGAGCTTCTCTCCTCCCAGCTATCTGAACCCCAAGCTCCAGATAATTTTAGCTACTGAGTGGAAATCTTTTTACTTTCACCCAAACAATAGAGCACAGGACATTTTCTACAGAAATACCATGACAAAGCCCCCAGTTGCTGTAGAGGCATAAAGGTGCTTGGATTAATCATCAGAACAACAGAGCATTAAAAAACCTGGGGAGATGAATTCACCAGGGTTTTGTTAGATAGATGCTTAAAAAAATATAATCCAAACATACTTGTTTCAAGTATCTTAGAAGATGAGAAAATTCAGTGCATCTGGCAGCAGCTACCACTTCATTTCTGTCATTTAATCTCATTGAGGTGCATTATGTCAAATAATTACCTTAATGAAAACTTCAATGGAAGAAGGGACAAAAATAATAGACATGCTTCAAAGAAATGAAGCTGTGAAGTTTCTTAGTTTTTAACTTGGCAGGGATTTATCTCCCTCTCCTCTGGATCCTGCCCTTACAGAGGTGTCCAATCTGCCTCTCTATAAAAACTAACACATTTCAGATGCTGCCCAAGTGATGCATGTATTAATTTGTATACAACAATATAATTTCTGAGCTTAAAACAACCCAACATTTAAAACCACAAAGTCCAGTCATTAACCCAGCACTGCCAAGGGACCATTAAAACATGTCCCCAAGTGCCACATCTACATATCTTTTAAATCCCTCCAGGGGTGGTGACCCTATCACTGCTCTGGGCAGCCTATGCCAGTGCTTGGTAAACCTTGAAGAATTTTTTTTCTAATATCAAATCTAAACCTCTCCTGGCACAATTTGAGGCTGTTTCCCCTCGTCCTATCACTTCTTACTTGGGAAAAGAGATCAACACCCAGACTGACCTTTATTGATCGTTCTCATTCTTTTCTGAAGTCCTGCAGCTATTTTATTTATATTTTATTTTGAACAGCCATTTTGAAGAGATTTTGTAAAGCCCTCATGTGCTGATTTCCACCCCCACCCATGCCCAGGATGTGCCTCTCATGGTCATATTGATCTTGAATTTACTTCAGCAGGTTGAAAGTGACACTTTCTTTGGTGAATAAACTATCTTCTAAATTTATCCAGTCTACCTAGGTTTCTGTGCACAAAACCTGAAAGGAAAAGCTCATTGAAAATTAAATTAATCAAGTCAAATGACTTTCCTTTTTTGTTGCCTGAAGGTATAACCTAAGAAAGAAAGAAAGTGTGTACTTCTTCCAGTACACATGTGGTGGAGAAGGTAAATGAGCTCTTACCTGACCCCAGCTCCCATGTATTTCCCAGTTATCCTTGCTTAGTGCTGCACATATGCAACAGCAGACTCCAGACCTTCTAGATATTAAAAAAAACCACAAAAAAACCAAAAGGAATTGTAGCCCATTTTTCTCAAAATAATGCAAAAATGTGACATTTTTTCCCCAAGCTCCAAACACTTCTCTCACTCTGGAAAATTAAATGTGTGATCCTATGGCAGAAGCCTATGCTGTGGTGTCAGGGACATCTCCCTGACTTCCCAAAGCATCCTTCACACAGTTTTGCTCCTTCCCGTGCCTCCTGGACAGTTTCCTGTACAGGTAAAGCACTCTCTTCTCCTCCCAGCTCTGGAAGAAGGAGGCTGCGATGTTCCGGCACAGGCGGCGTGCGTAGGTTTCCAGGAACACGGTGGCGTAGAGGATGCAGAAGAGCAGCCCCACAACGAGCAGCACAGAGGGGTTGGGAGGTGTGGGAGGGCTGATCCTGCAGTGGGCAGAGCTCAAGATCAGATGATGGTGGTAGGTCCTGTTGAAGTCTCCGAGCAGTAATTTTTCAGAAGGACGCCCAAAAACTTTGAATAGAAAGGGCATGATCCCTATTTCAACCTAAAATAAGGAGAGTTAAAATGTGAATGGGATATGAAGAAACCAAAATCAACTGATCACTACAGAAACATCTGCCTGGGGGTGTGGAATCACTGTTACAGCACTAAGAGAAGGACACTGAAGTGTGTGATCACTTCAGGCTGAGTAGCAGTGGGATGTGTAGGCGCTGAGTACTGGGCAGGGTGAGAGCCAGTCCTATCTATCATCTTCATCCACTGGTACAGACATCACAACAGGCATTCACTGAATGAGATTTATGGTGAAAGATATAATCCAGGCTGTGGTATTAATGGCTGAATAGCTGAATATTAGAAGCTTTTTTTAAACCCTGTAAATCCTGTAAATTTCCTGTAAATCCATCATAAACAGGTATCTGCACTAAGGATCCTGGGGCTGGGGAAGGAGGTAGGCTGTGTGGCAGAGGAAGGAAGTTAAAACACCAGGCCAAAGAATATTGAAATAGAAACTGGAGAGGTTTCTGGTGGAAAGGATTGCAGAGGGCAACAACAAAGCCAGCAAGCAGGGATTTCTACTGAAGAAACAGCCTGTGCAACAGGATGAGGAGACACTCTCAGTGTTCATTAGCTGCTCCCTTCCTTTTGGACTTGCACCCAGTCTGCAGTGGGGGGACAGTGTCCCATTCCTCCACCTTGCTTAGGGAAGGGACCTGGAGACACAGGGACATCTGACTGCCTGGTGCTAGCAGTGTCTTTGCAGCATGAGGCACTGTTTGCTCCCCTCCAGGGAACAACTGAGGTCGTGCCACTGCCTCCTCCCCCAAAGCCTATTGCTCACCCAGCTGGCTGCTGGGGAGGGAAGTCGGGGTTGTGTAAATAGGAGTAAAAAGGCTGCAATCCCCACCACCACCTCCTTGAGGGGACACAGTGTGGGGTCCCCACACAGTGCAGAGCAGAGCAGGGCAGGGCAGAACACCCCAGCACTCACCTGGTATTTGATGTTGAGAGTGACGGGCACTGCAGAGAACTGAGCTGCCTTTCTCACCGCTGTGTCTGCCACGCTGAACGCAAAGTGGTCCATGGCCACGACCACCAGCATCAGCATCAGGGCCACAGTGACCAGCATGGCTTGCACGAGGCACAGCATCCCTTCCTCCCAGGACAGCTTCAAGCCTGTTGGTCGGATGAGTTTTTTGGATGAGCCCACCAGGAGATGAGCTGCTCTTCTGTCCATGGCTAAACGCTCCAGCTTCTTGGTGATGTAAAAATTGTCAAAGCGGAGGTTGGTGAGATAATTCTTCAAATACCAGGCAGATTCAAAACAGAGATAGAGCATGAAGGAGGCAGCAGCCAGTCTGTTGGCTACTCGTATTGAGTCTTTGACCAAAATCTCAACAGACAAGAACTCTCTGCTAATTTTTTCACCAGCAAGGTGCATTTTTTGGTAAATGAAGGAGCTGTTCTGAAGCAACAAAAAGCGAAAATGTCCATTCATAGGCTTATGAATGGAATGAATGGTTTCTTGGATTGCATCCCCAAACTCCCAGGAAACTTTCTCTAGCAGGGCAGTTGAGTTCAGAAGGCTGTCAGAGGAATTCTTGCAGATGCACTTAATAACCTGCAGTATGGTTTTAATGTTGCCTATTATGTTGGGCACTATGTTCACCACTGCGATCATGATGCAGGTGGAGAAGAGAAGCTTCCGGCCCTGCTTGGTGCCTAAAGTGGGCATGATCATGCTGAAGACACAACGGGCAGGATGCACCAAAAGGAGAGTCAGGAGGAGCAGCAGACTGAAGGAGATGGCCATGGCAACGGAGAGGTGCCAGGAGTACTCCAGGGAAGCAAACATCCAGTTGTAAAAGAGGCCTCCTATCACTGCTGTAATGCAGGAACACTGCAGAAACAAGGTCCATAGCTCTCTGCCATCTGCTGGGACAGGTTTGGAGTAAATCCACCACAGGTCTGCCATGCTTCTGTGCACCTTTGGGAACAGAAAGTCTTTGCAGTAAACACGGGCTCTCATCCTAGAAAAAGAGCAAGTACCTGGGTGTTAGCAGAGGAAGTTCATACACTCTCATTAGGAGGCTTTCTTGAGATGATCACTTACAGGGTTTTATATTGTCCTCCTCTGAGTGCTCTGGTCTCACTCTACTTCCCTGCTAACTCCCCTGAGCAGCTGGGGCTGCGCTCTCCCCTGGAAGCAGCAGGACAGGGAATTTCAAGGCGCTTATTGTAAAAATAAATACTAAGTGCAATGCAACTACTCCTCTATTAATGCAAGCACAGGAAAACATTGTGTCATTCTATAAAAACAATAATAGAGTCAATCTGAGGGGTCACCTCATGGGCAGTGGTTGAGGCTTTAGTGCTTATTTAGAGGATATTGGAGGGAGAAGGAGGAGGCTACTGCCTCCTGTGGAAATTGTAAGACCAGCTCTGAGGTGTTACACGGACAAGAGGAAATTGAGTGGTGCTTCCCCTGCCTTTTAAGAGGAGGCCAAACACGAATCTACATGTATAAGGGTGACAAACAGAGAAAATGGTTTCACACTGAAGCTGCAGTGCCAGAGGAAGTCTCCAAGGACAAGAATTTGGCCACTACAGACAGGATGAAATGTCCCATAAAGCTATTTAAATATCTAATGGAAACAAACATTTGGGAAAGAGTATAATTTCTCAGGCCTCACATCTAGAGTGACTCCGGAAACCAGAAAACCTGGAGAGGAGAAGAGCCTGTCCCGAGGGTTAAATGCAGCCAGGCAATCCCTGTCTCCCACTGCTGGACAGCAGCCTCAGCTATCCTTTGAGGGACAATTTTAACTGGGAAAGGAGGTTTACTGAGAAAAGCTATACAACAGCCATCAAGACAGAGGGAAAGAGAGGGATTAAAGCTGACTCTACATACCCAGCGGCAGTGAGGTGCCCCAGACTTGCCCAAGAGCTCTCCATGTTCCGATGCTTTATTGCTCTGAGGGGATCCAGGATGTGGCTGTTGGGAGAGGCAGGGTAGGAAACCAAGGCAGCACCTTGAGAGCCAGGACTCAAAACCCAAGATGCTTTAAGGCAATTCAGATCAGCAGTGCTGGCAATCCCTGAAGTGTGCAAAACCTGGTGAGTGAAGCCTGGGCAATAACAGCACCAAAGAACAGCCAGGATGCACAGCACTGCTTGGGCTTTACACTTTTTCTGGTCTTATTCTTGTTGCAGAGAAGGCTTATTTTTAATGACACACAGCTGAAAAAAAATGAGTCAATGACACATGGGCTGACGAAGATGGCACAAGGATCATACGGAACCTGGGGTGTCATCATTCCTTGTGGGGAAATCAGATGACTACTCCTCACACTGCCCACCAGCAAGCAGTGAGCAGGGCTGGCATCTCTCTCAGAGCAAAAGGGACCTTTTCCTCTTTCAGACATCAATCATGGCACAAAGGGCACAGCAGGATCCAGCAACCCAGCTGGTAACTGGTCATCTGTTCTGACAGGCTGCTGCTCCTTGCTGAAACTGTGTGCAGGCTTCACAAACAGCTTCAAGGCTCATCTCACAGTCCTAGCAGAGGAAGAGGAAGTTTCAGTCTTGAACCTTTCTGAATTCCCTATCCACTGCAGAGAAAACCCAGCCACAGTCAGGGTTCCCAAACTGTTGAGAAGCTCTCAGATGTACAGGCCAGGATGTACCAACAGCCTGGACCCCAGGATGTGCCCAGCAGAGCTCCAGCCACCAAACCTGCTCACCTGGAGATGAGGAACAGCCACGGTGTTTGCTCCTCACTTATGAGCTCAGGGGTTACAGGAGCCTTCCCTGGCTCCCACCAAACCTGCCCCTTGGCCAGATGCTCTCATGCTAAGCCACCATTTGTGGGCAAACGTGACACAGCTCACCCAGCTGCCACTGAGCCCATCCCTTTTGGGGACCCGCTGTCCCAAGCCAAGCCCTCCCTCCAGCTGGGAGCCCCCGGGATGTTCTCATGCTCCCCTGGGCTGGAAAGGGCAAAGGGCTCGAGGTCAGCCCTGTCCCAGCCACCCTGGGGACGAAGCACGTGGGGCTCTGCCCTCCAGAGAGAGGTGGGAGAGCAGCACCTTCCCCAGGGGACATGGCTGGACCCCACAGCAGCGGCAGGCACTGGAGCACAAGGAATGACTAGCACAGCAGGCAGAGCAAACCTCTGCCTGCTTCCTCTGCCCTTCCTGCAGGCAGCAGGTCCCTTGTGCCTGGCTGCTCCACTCAACAGTTCCGCTTTGTAGTTGGGGGTTTTGTTTTTCCTGTGTGGCTGGTGGAGCAGAGCTTTCCTCCTGGTGCCCTGGAGCAGAGAGGCCGGATGAGAAACTCTGCCTGGCTCCAGCCGGGAAGAGGCACCAGCCAGGCGGGCGGGAAAGAAAGTGCTGTTTGTTTGGAGCATCCATAGCAATTGCTTGCACAGGCCATGAATTAGGTCTTGAATTCAATGTGCACACTATAAGGGACTAACCCAAAAGACCCATAGCTGGATCCTGCAAGGCTCATCAGCTTCTCCTACGGCTTAACTCCTTTCTCGCTCTACTTCAGAGTGAACTGATATTAGCATCAGCCCCTGGGACCCCATCCAGGATGTACAGGCAGCTTTCTGGGGCAGAAAAGGAAATAAATTTAGCAATAGTCTATAAAGAACAAAAACCTCCCAAGTCCACAACATTGTGGTGTTTTCTGAGTCTGCTACACCATCTGGCAAAGGCACCTGAGGTTTGTGGGGACACTGAGCAGTAACTCTGGCAGCACCAAGAAGTGTTTGTTTGCAGTCATACTAAGATTTTTTCCTCTGGCTCTACTCAAAATTGTTGTCTTCCAGTTGGACAGGGCAGGTTTATGCAAGGGCATAAATCTGGGTTAACTTCAATTTTATACCATGAATGACCTGCAAACGAGCTAGAAACCTAGATGCCTTACCTTCCCCAGAACATAATAAACAAGCTTGATTTGCCAAAAAAAATCCCCAACAAACAAAACACAGCAGCAAAACCCCCAAATACCAACGTGTGTGTTCATAGGGACACCTGGGGAACGGCGGCTGAAGGCTGGGAGTGGGAAAGGGGCAGGACTGGGACGCAGGAAAGGCAGGACCACACATTGCAGTGAAGCAACTGTGACATCTTGTGGTCACACTCTGCTCAAGGGCCCCGAGGCCCGGCTCATTTTGATTCTGAAAAAAATCCCAAATGTAGTTGGGCAAGTTCTCAGATAAGGAGGAACCTGTGTCCTCCCAGGGTGCTCCAAGGTGCCTTTTCCCACCCTGTGTCATTTCCAGATGGTATAAAAAGGAATTTGCTTTCTTGACAAGCTCCAGTCTCTGTAGAACTCAAGCTCTAAAATTTTCCAACATCACAGGTTTTTACTTTTTAGCAGTACAGGAGGAAACCGGACCCCTCATGCCTGTGATCAGCTTGCTGGAACTGTGAGACAGCCGAGGATTCCACTGGCATCACTGCCAGGAGGCAGAGCCTGGCTCTACCTGGCCTTGGGATGAGCACTGAGCTGGTAGCCACCAGGACAGAGGCTTTAAACTCAGTTCTAAGTGCAGACTGCAGTGTCTGGAGTGGGCCTGTGCCAAGACACCTGCAAGTTCAACCTGTGGTGACAGTGTCACCTTGTCATGGTGACACGGTGGGAGGGGGTGCAGTGCTTTGCCCCAGGCAGAGGGTGAGGTAAATGAACTATACAGCTTAAGAAAATGGCTGGAGATAGCAGAAGAATTAAGGGCTAAAATAGAACGATTTAAGTCTGAAGATAATTCTCCATGGCAGTCTCATCAGCACCTGTTGATCATATTATTCTGCCCTTTTGAGAAATTGAGGATGTGAGAAAGATTAACTAATTAGGGGTGGGTTTTTTTTGTTGAAATCACTTGCAAATTAATATCTTACAGTAACAGAGCCAGATCATGTCTTCTTAGGTTACTACTATAGAAATATAGGAAAATCCCAACAATATCCTTTCTGAAGGATAAATGGGATATGGGAACCAAGGCTGTCTAACCTTTAATAGCTGAATTCCCTATCATGCTGGACTTTCATTTGTTTCATTACTCTTTTCCTGCCTCTCCTGAAATTCCAGCATCGCTGCTGAGTGCAAACTGACGAGCACAGCCCTGGAATCACTCCCTGCTGCAAGGACCCACAGAGCAGCTCCTCCGTGTGAACAGTTTGTAAAGTAACTCAAATGCTCCTGGGATAAAAGACAACGACAAAATGCTTTCCTACTGTAAATAAACCAAAATTATTTTCCTCTGAGTGTCTCAGGAGAACATAGGGATGTTGGTCCAGGACTGGATGGGGAACATCAAAGGAGAAAAACAGAGATATTCTGGATGTTGAATTTCAATGCGTGAGTGGAATTTCCTGTTAATTAAAATTCACAAGGAGGCTGCTAATGTGAATGGCTTTTGTGATGCTTGTTGGATTTTTACATTCCTAGAGAAATGGTGCATAGGCAAGCAAAGTTCCTTTAAAATAACAGTCAAAGTTACAGAAGGTTACTACAGCACTTGAAATACCCTTTCCTGGGAATTTTCATATCTCTACACTTATCACAGACCCTTCAAAACTAATGGGGTTGAGTTGCCATTAAAAGCTGCTTTTGACAAATCTTAGTACTAGCAGCAGCAAATAGAAACAGAAATTATTCATGCAGGCCTGTTCACCTTTGAATCCCAGAAATACTAAATCTTAAAATCTCAGCTTAAAAATTTAATTAAAAGTCAAGCATGCCAGACTAGTCTTACTCTCACAGATGCCTGGGTATAAAAAGAGCAGAATTAGATAAATCAGATCCTCTGGGGAGCCCTGGGAAATACAGGGGCTGCTGACAGAGCTGGCAAACAGGTCTTAGACTAGAGAGGTTTAGGGTCCAGGTGCTTCTTACACCTTTCCCAGGTGTGCCAAGGCCTTCATTGTGACTTGGGTAAGTCACTGGTCTCCTCTCTGCCTCAGTTTCTCACGTTGGCACAGAGATCACAACCCTGCCCTGGCTGCATTTGTGAAATACTTCCTGATCCCTGGATAGACAGTGCCACAGGCATGCCAGGACACTGGAAGTGATTTTTGGAGACTTCTACACAAACTCTGTGGTCTCAGCTCTTTCAAGCCCAAGGAAAACCATCCAGGATTCAATCACCGAGGATGCACCAAGTCAGAGCTGAGAGCATGAACAAACCTGCGTCCCCAACATCTGCAGGGGAGCTGGACTGGATGTTACCCTTTGGAACTGGATGATCCCAAAACTCTTGCTGCCTGTCCTCCAGGCTGCAGGGACAGAGGCAGCTCTGCCCCAGTGGCTGATGAGGATGCAGAAGCAGCAGTAGCTCAGAGCAGTGGGACCGTGGGGCTCCTTCCTGCGGGCACAGCCTGTTCCCTGTTCCCTGTTCCCTGGCCCAGGACAGCAATCCCGTGCTGCTCAGGGACAGCTGGCTGAGAAAGCAAACTGCAGGGAGCAATTTTCCCTTCCCATTCAGCCCATCTTTGCTAAGGCATGATGAGGAGCACCCAAGCAGAACGGCAGTGCCCAAACCCAGCACAGCCAAGCAGAGCAGGGATTTGGGGTAAGCTCCAAGGCTCTTTAGCAGAGCAGCCCTGAGATGCTGGGCCAAGGGGTTTTCCCATTGCTCCTCTGCTTAACAGGACTGCACTGCCCTTCTGCTCCTCCTGGGGAGCCACTGCCCAAATCAGGGACGAAGCTGGAGCAGGGGAACGCTCAGGCTTTGCTTTTCTCCCCTCAAACTACAGAGCAAACAGGACCATGTGATGTGCTAACCAACGTGCTTTATTTTAAGTTTTCCACAGTCATTAAGGATTTTGTTTGAACATTAAGGATTTTTTTTTTTAAACTTGATTGGTCAAAGTTCCACATTTAATTGGTTTTGGCAATTTGGGTTCAACCCCCTCGAGTTCCCACCTGCCGCATCGCCCCAAGGCTACTCCCATAGGGTAACCCCTGCAGCAGCAGCAGCTGTGGCTGGTGAACATCTCCCTGCCAGCCCTCCCACCTGGCCCTGGGGGTTAGCAGCAGCATAGGAGCAGGGGGATGCACTGGATCCCTACCCTGGGCCAGTTCATCTTCTCAGCTCCCCAATTTACATTGTCAGAGAAACTGGTCCCAGCACAGGGATC